ATACTACTGTTTTATTTGTTGTTGTGTAGCTTTGGCTTTTATAAAGGTTAGCAAAATTATGTGGCTCCTAAAATATAGATATTATTTATTTCAATTCAATCTTATAATACAAAGAATTCTGAAAAAGACATTGATTGTATATTAATTTATTTGTTGATATTTATATATTAACTTTCTAGTTCATTATTCATATCACTTCGATCTTTTATCTTTTATTATATTATATTCAAAATTCCAAGATTTCTAAGAAAGAGTTTATTTATTAAGAGATATTGCTACTATTGACAACGGTATAATCAATCCTAAATCGTATGAAGACACTGGCACCCCGTAGTGTGATCGTGAAGCGGAACTCAGCAGGCTTTCTATTGACAGTTAAGTACGTACCATAGCGATCAAGATATAAAAATTATGTCAGGTTGAAAAATGGGGGAAAATTATTAGCAAATCTTTTATATATTACAAGATTCTAGTTTATCTTTATCTTTATATATTACAAGATTTTAGTTCGATAAGGAACAAGCAGGTAATATAATGTCAAGTTACTTTGATCATTTAAGTATGATGAAAAGAAAAAAAACAAACTATGCTAAATATTAGCACATTAAGAATTGTACTTAATTTGAGCTCCTAATAAACAAGACGTGATATTTACCTACAGACCGTAACAATATAATTTCTTATAAAGGAAATAATTACGCAGAACGCCATGACAATAAATTACACGGCATTTACGACTAATTTATTAATAGAATTTTTGCGAGTAAACCTTAGGAGCGTCGTAAACAAGTAACCACACCGTGGCCAATGCTTGATCGTAAAATTTGTTTCTGCATCCTGATTGGTAGTGTTCAAGCCAATGACCGTGCATTCTGGATTTAAAAGCGACGGTTTACGATCTACAGGCGTCTTTTGTATTTTGGCGCCAAAATTGATAATTTGAGATCAAATTTTATGACCAATCTAACATTAAAATTTTAATCGGCAAAAATTTAACTCATGCACATTTATATCCCATAAACTAGATCTAAATGACTTGCAACATTACATGTTCAGTTCTGTGACATATCTACATGAGGATACTCTAAATGAAAACTAAGATATATTTATGAGACAATCTGTGGCTATATAAAATGGTGAACTAACAAGAATTTAGTGCGTAATAAAGCAGTCAAGACAGACGTACTGACAGACTAACTAATATACATGCGCAGGAGTAAACCTGGATTAATCTTGACATAATTTTAATTATCGTTTTTAAATTTTAATTTAAAATGAGCTCATATTACTAGTTGCACATACGATAGCTATATAATTTATCGTTGCAACAAGTGCACATCCAATTTTTCATTCAAAATGGCTGACACATACAAAAAATTGTGCAATGTTTTTTACAATTGTACTAAATTGCCATGCATCTTATCATTAGCAAGTCAATTCCATAGAATCTTAGAATATTCGTGTCAGTTAACAGCGTAGAATTACTTGGAAATTGCTTAATACACAGTATGTCCATACAAATATTTATAAATTTAAATGTTACGGTAAGTAATAGGCTGAGAAATGAAACATTACGTATTCACTAAGTTTAACATTCAACCAAGATTAAACTGCCAGTAAAAGAAATAACTTAGATATTTAATTATTTTAGGTATTACTATGACTAGACATAGACAAAACAGTTGACAAATAAAACCTTTTCTTCCTCTGTTTGTCAGCCGATTTTCTTTTTTTAGTTTAGTAGCTATTGACGTTATTAACAAAAAAAAATAGGAAACACTTAGCTTTTTAGAGAAATAAGTAAATTCTAATCATATATAGTTTCATATGATTATGATCGAATTTCAACCACTCTGTGCGAACTCATTTATAGAAAGTTAACAATTTATATTACAAATGACAGGCCAATAATTTTAGATATTAAATTAATTATTATTATTACGTCACTTCTGTCTAAATAAACATTAAATATGAAAACGTACCAGAATTCTTATGGATAATTGTGAAGGGGAAATAAAAAATTGTCCCTTATAGTAATCCCAGCATTGTCAGCGTCACACGTACCGGGACGAATCCGTGACGAATTGTCGCTATCCCGGACAAATCCTGGGGCCCTTATTTCATTATATTTCTTATTTTCTTACTACTCCGACCCCAGATGCATTATTCATGGAATCGTTATCTCTTTTGCTATTGACAATGTAGAGTTTGGACAAATGTAGCCCAAATAATAAAAATAATAAATATTTATTTCTTAAGTGATTTCTTTGGTCCTATAACTAAATATCTTCTCAATTTAAATTAATTATAAAAATAAAAGCAATTACATGGCTTTGAAAATGATTTGCATCTCTATTAATATTATATTTATATCGTGTAAAATGAAGCATCTATTAGAGGACCGCCAATTATCCTAACCCCCTAACCCAGTCCCCCGCGGCTCAATCGTTAGCCGTCAATGGCAGACATGAAAAATAAATAAAATGTCAGATTGTCGTGGAAACCGCTCGTAAAAGAATCCGCCATGCTTTTACAGGAGCTAAAGTGTGTATACGCACTGCAGGGTTGTGTACTCTAAGCTTACATGCATGAATTTATAGTTTTCAGTTTAGAATAATAAATGTAGATTAGATAATTTTTCTACTATCTAGATTGGAGTTTTAGATTGTCTTCTTCATAGTCTTCGTCTTTTTTCTTGTAGCCTCAAAGCATGCGGCCGGTATATTGCCAATCCAACCAAAAGAACTTTATAATCTAGATTAAATTAAATAATTGCATATATCACTCAGAATTATTTATGATAGCTATCTATATTAGCTATAATCTATTCAATCAAAATGATTTAGAATATTTAAGTGATATCAATTTTCTAAATAACCACAATATATTTTTATTCAAGCTGTAGTGCGCGCGTATCCCATGGCGGGTACGAAAGATTATCGCGGGGTGCAGTAAACAGTAAAGAAACAATTTTCCCCTCCCGGGGCGCGAATCTGCGACATGATAAAAATACAATATTTTCCGCATAAAATATTCTCTTTACTGTTTTCACCTTTGAAACATTTAACAAGTTTATTTTTGTACCGTTGAGAAATTAGATCAACAATCTCGAAGGGATCTTTATGCTTCGTGATTGATATTTTCCTTAATTTTAAAAACGATTTTCTCGCATTAAATAAGCATCTTCTTTGAGGATTTCGTATGAGTATGATCTTAAAATTATATAAAGTAAACTCCCAAATTATTTCAAACAGAACATTTTATTGTAATCCGTTCAGAAAAATAAAATTATAAAATTAATTAAATCACATTGACATACAAGATGGACGTACACCAAATAGCATATTAATTATACATTTACGAGTTAGAATAATGAAAATTAAAACATAAGAAACCTACCGCGCTGTTTACACCTAACTTAGACTCCACTACACAGTTAATTGTTAAAGAAAACTCATATACAGACATAAATAACCACTGAAGGAAAACCTTCTTCCCAAACAATTATATATAGAACCACGTGTTAGGCTTTAATTACGGCTTCCATGTTAACAATGTGAGAAATAATATATAACACAAACAAAACAATTCAGTCTCAACGTCCAAAAACATACCTTACATATCACTAAACAAACATACAAAAAACGCGGCTGTTGTCACCAATTCTGTAAACTATTCGCGCCAAAAGATAAACGTCACTTTTCACAAATTAATAAAAGTTGACAAATAAAATCAATTTCAACACAACGTAATATCGATTCTGGAATTGTAATAGTTACAGAATTGGCATTTGTAACGTAACGTGAAAAACCTATGTTACTGTGAATGTGAATTTTTGTATCGTGCAATACCAATTTAAATTTTCGACCAGTTTGAATGCAGTGTACAAAAATACAGCAAATAATCTTAATTATTTAAATGTTTACTTATCGAAGTAGAGAAATAGTGGAACCACATTAACGGCACTAATTATTTTTAGAAGCATCTAGATTTCTATTCATAACGCACATCCATATAATATATCCGATTAAAATAATCGGTTGCACTTTAATCGATGGTCGTGATGGAGCTCCATTACAGACTCACGCGCAAAATGCAATCGATCCCAAACGGTCTAAAATTACACCTAGCGTATACTGAATACGTATTTTCTTTCCTTTAAACTAACTAAATTTATTTTTTGTGCTTCTTGTTAGTGAACGCAATCTGCAATTATCAACTATTTACGTATATACTGTTTACTAGCCAAAATATAACACTAGCATCTACCACCTTTAAAACCAATGACAATAATTTAAAACTCTTAAGTAATTCTTATTATCTCACTTAGGCAAGTTAAAGTTGTGTTTTTACGTATACTTCGTTTTCCAATAGTTTTCCAATAACCTAATTAAGTTTTAAACTAAGCTCAGAATCGTAATCGTAGCTTCTAGAAAAAAATTATGGCAATAGTTCTGGAGCTCGAAGAAGAGCGGAGGATTCGAAAGACTTATCATGCTGTATTTACTTACTAAAGTTATTTATTAGTATACACATATTACAATCAACGTTATACGTATGTTTTTTTTAAATCGTATACATAATTCCGGCGCAAAATAAAATTTCGAACATCGGCGCAAATGTTCATTAAAAATCAAATCGAGATAACTCGATTGGATCGCACCCGTCACACCCCTTCACTGTATCGTGTGATCGATAATTTAGATAAATCAAATCAATGTTCAAATGGTACAGTGCTAAGAGGTTGGCCAATTGCAAAAACGAAGATTTTTAACTTAAACTACTAAGGCTTTCTTGGAGTTTGCGAGACAACCTCCAAGAAGACCGTACAAGCTAGGGAGGCGGGATATAAACTAAAATGCGAGCACCCCCTGAAAGACTTCGTTTTTGCAATGGCCAGACTAAGAGCAGGGGTGCACGAGATAGCTCGTGGTCGAATTGGGTGCTAGCTGGGGATCGCGCCTCTGAATCAGGTGTGATTTGCTATAGGGGGTACTCACAACGTCGGGCGTGGACGCGCCGTCGTGGCTGCTGTCGGGCGCTGATCGCTCGCCGTTAGTGTCCGGCGGCCGCGCAGACTCCCGCTCGTCGATCACCAGGTCGATGGGCATCTTGCCCTTCAAGCAGCTGATGTAGCGGTGGCAGAAGTTGTCGCATAGCTCGTGCACCTGCGCAAATACGGCACAGTTAGTCGATCCCTCCAGAGATCTTGCTAATTCTTCAGTTAAAATGGTGAAAGCAGATCGCAGGTTCGATTGTTTTGACAGAATTTAAAAATGTTTTCTCAGGTCGACTCCATTGCTCTATAAATAAACACCTATCTGAAAATTGTATAATATCTCAACATATTCATTTTATTTACATCAATTATTTTCGAAAATCAATGTTACATTCCCATGAAACTCTTGCATTCTTTTTCTATGACATAAAATATAAATAATTCAAAACTAATCAAACAACATTGATTGCTTTTGATTTATAGATTAATTAATGACACAATCACACATTTACATAGACATCAATACTGAGGTATGTGAACATGTTTTCGACGTCGTCAATAGCATTACCTAATTACATATTAAAATCAAAAAAATAAATAATAAACTATTTAAAAGCTAACTCATTTTATCATTAAATGTACAGAAATACCTACCGATCTTGATATAAATTTATATTATTTCAAAATAGAAAATCAACTACTATGTTCTTCAAATTTATTCAAAATCCTAGTAGATAATTTACATTTACACATAATTCCTTCGGTGACACAGCTGAATGCTAGAGTAGCACACGGTGACCTTTGAACTAAAGTCGTTTTAACACAAAAACAATAAAAACACAAAAGAAACAAAGAGAATACATTTCAAATCGGTCTTGGACCACCTGACGCATATTACGCGTAACACTCAGACGTTAAAATAATTCCTTGTTATAAAGTAAATACATTTTTTTTTTCATTCCAATAAAATACGACCCCCACCGGGCGAGTATTAATTTTTACGTCGGGGCCTTATAAATTTTCATAGGCATAATTAACTTAGAAATTAACATAAGGCAATAAAAAAGCTAACGAAATTTTTAGATAGCGTTTACACGATGGTGAGTAATAAAATGGCGGCAGGTGAAGGTTCGCGTTTAGAAAAAAAAAAAACAAAAAGAAATCGTCTTAGCGGATTTTCAGAATAGAACGCTGCGCAGGAAACGGAAACGACTCTACCCGTCGTTGACAGCTAATTTTGTCTTTGGATAGTAATTTCCTAATCGACAACTTTTTCTGAAATCGTAAACTATGAACTCGTTTGTCATATAAAATATTTAGCACAGCTTATATGAAAGCAGTCAGATGTGACGATAAATAAATGTTTATAATATTTTAATTTGCTCCGTGTACGAGAAACGTAATAATTGTGGTCATTTAGAGTCATTTGAATTTTACAGCTGTTGAAATCTATATTTATGGTTGAAGCCCGGGTGTTCTTTACAACTGTCAAATGACTCAACTGTATCTGACAAAATTTGATTGAGGACCTTTATAGGGTCATAGTGATTTTCAAATAAATTGCACATTTTAAACAGAGCATTTTAAATTTTGTTTAAAAATAAATGTCTATAGTTATAGCTAAATATATAACCTTTTCAAAACGAAACAAGTTATTCACAATAAAATTAATTCCAATAATTCGTCGACTTTGTGAGCGATGCCCAGTCTATTCTTAACCAGAGAAAGCGACAAAGATGACATCGTAACTCTTCGAATATCCAAATTTGGGATTGCTGTTTCATCGGTCCATAAAGGTTTTATCTCGATATGTATCATGGAAATATAGTCCCTATGGTAACTAAAAAAGCGTCATAGTTGTTTGTACAAAATCCTCAGATAGCAATACTCGAGTAAACTGTTGATGTCTTTAATGAGATATTACGGCATTCCGGGCTCCGACTCGAGCCGATTATCGTTACGAACATCAAACTCTTTCCAGAAATTTAAATTTGGAACCGGGATTGAGATATGGAGTGTTTCCGAACGAATTCTTATTTTTTAATTTGAAACGTGATATATAATGGCAGCTCGTTGACGTTTAGAGCGTCTGCCTTTGAATAGCGTTTTTTGATCCGAATTTCAAAACTTTTTGTTTATACTGTGTGTCAAGATTTAAATAGATTATTTTGTATCTACACATATATTTTGTATGTAGGTACATAACAACACAGGTATGTGTAGAGTATTTTTAAAGTTTTTTAAAGAGGGCTCCTGTCAGGAGAGTGCCAAAAGCGTGGGCAGTATAAAACCCGCTTTGCAATGTGTGCCACGGCCGATTCGCGATTAAAAGGGTTTTTTTCGTGTAATGCCACTTCCCGCGATAATGCACCGTGGGTGTGACTAGGTAACATAAATTGGAACGCACATAAGAAATATCAAAACATTTTGCTCTTAAACCGTATAAAATAATTTATTTCAGTTATACGTTACAGCAGTTCTTCATAATATGTCAAAAGCACATTAAATAAAAATAAAAATTTGTCTCAATATATTACAATGACTGTTTTTACAACAGTAAAAATTGTAAACAATTTCTTTTGCACAGTGTAAGTAAATAGTTTTATTGATTAATATTTTATTCGTTAATATCTTTACTAAGTTTTAAAATAAAGAGATACAATAATAAATAATCTAACGAATTGAAAGTTCAAGATGCCAGCTTAAAGCTGCTGTCAATGTCATTTTAATATTTTTTTAGGAAATTTAAGTAGACTCTGATCGACTTAGATATTATAGCTAATGTTGTTAATAAACGTTGGCCTCTTAATACTCGTAATATTAAACGTACAAAGTTGAACATTGAAAAAATGCTAACAGAGCTAACCCACACGGCGATGCATAGGCAGATGCAAAAACGCATCGGACGACATTTCTGATCGGCCATCGATGTTCCCTTTGTACCTTTTTTGCCGTTTTATACTTTTTCCTTTTAATTTAAATAAAACCTGAACCGGCATTCAAATGAGGCCCGATTGGTTCGCACCTCACTTCACTACGATAACGTTTCTAGGCTTTAACAAGAACAATTTTAAACCTAATGCAAAAATGCATTATGCGTTAGGCTCCACCTCTGTAATACATATTAATAGTCAAGATTCACATGTAACATCTTTATACACCCGTTTTCATGATATTTTATTGCAAAACTTACTTAAAATTTGAAGTATCTGTTATACCTCATACTTATTTATATGAAACATTACTAATTAAATCCTTTTTCGTGAGTCGAAAGTGACCAGAGAAATCTTGTCGCACTATCGAGTTTATGTGCGTTGTAAAAGTTATAAAGGTATGTCGTAAAGGGTCCCAGGTTTGAGGCCCGTAAACCAACAAATCTGACCTACATCGTAAATCACTTAGCCACGCTGTTACAGATAACGTTTATGAGTTAGGAACAAAATATGAAATAAAAGCACGCATTCTAATCAGTTAGAGTTTATTAACGGCCATTTAGTGTTTCTACAGAGTTTACTTAACATTTCCACAGATTAAAAAGTGATAAAAAAATCGTTTCGTTATATACCTATTGTATGTCGAAGGTTGAATTTTTTAGATTTTTTATTATGCGAAAGGATGAATCTAATAAAGGTCAACATTACCGCAGGAATCTGGCTGTCTACCACATAACGTAATTAGGGAACAGACTACATAAAAAACCTGCTAGTGGACCAATCACCGATCGCGCGACCGAAAAGACCCATGATTCGAATTTCGAACCCGATGTGACCGCCAGCGGCCATGTTTAAAATATTAAAAGCATAAATCAAAAAATGTTATTGGATATTTTAATATACAAATAATTTTGTGTTATTTAATACGATACGAATGTTTTACAAGTTTTTCTATTTAATTTTCATAATATTTCAGAAAAGGTAAGAATTTTTGTTCTAATTTATTTATAATTTTTAAATTTATAATTTAAGACTCTTTTACAGAACCGTCAATTATAGTTATAAATTTTCTTTGTGTAAAATTCCAATGTTTTTATACGAGTTTTAATTATTACTTAAGCTCCAAAACATCACCTGTGAACGGTGTGTAGTGAAGCGGAAATGGATCCAACTAACGGCATCTTTTTTCTTTGCTTTTATTTCGACAAAAACTATGGACGAGATAGAAGCTGACGTATATAGGATATGAGCAGCGCACAAAAAACTATTTTTCGAAACAAAATAGATGCATGCGACTAATATTATGTGATAATTACTAAACATGAGAATAAAATGGAACATTTAAGTGTACAAATGTATCGTATTCGTCCAATTCGTTTCATTATTTACTTTTAATGGAAATCTTATTACACGAATTTATCATTCATGCACATAACTTCCCCGCGGTTATACTAAAGAGGAGTTATAGCTTCGGACCATTTCTGACTCGAGCCCGCGGCTTTCCGCCCGATATTTTGAATTTAAACCTCTTATTTTTATTCTTTTAAATGGCCTTTATCTCGCCCTCCGGCCAGCGATTCGTAGACGTATCACATTTCGGGTTATCTCGTTACAGACTCTTTGTTCTTACCTATACATACTTTTTACAAATTTACCGGTTCTGAAGTACGAGTAGATACATCGGCGCCAGATATTTTAAAGAATCTGTGGGAGCGGAGTATCTAGTTTCCAGATCGTCGCGATAGACTTTACTCAAACAAGTTTTGTAAAAACGTGACCATAATATAGACAAGTCGGATTAATTCCGTGTTGCTGTAACTCACGCTCTGATGGATATTTGAATTTTATGCGTCTAATTAATGTCTGTACGCGTGAATCGTCCAATTTGATTGCGGATGGCAAAAAGCATGGGTCCCGCCGCTTTACCGTTACCCGTCGAAGGTATAATGACGCGAATTGGCGATGCGACACACGCAAGAACGTGGACCGGTCTTGGACGGAACACCGAAATGGGAGATTAAGGGAAAAACAAACACACAAAATGTAGCCCATTCACGGCTCGAACACCTGACTGCCAAATTAAAGAAACTTTTGAACTACGATTCCGTATTAAATATTCATTATTTTAAACACATAGCGAAAGCGAATCAGACATATGTGACATGTGAGTGTGACAGTTGTTTCTGTGAACTCAACGAAACGAATTCAAAGTTTTAAGCATTGAAAGTTCAAACTAGAGGTGTGACCGGTTGAGTTGTGTGCGTGCGCCACTTGCATGAGATCGATACGTTATCTCGATTCAAAATCGATACCCGAGCCCTGGGATAATCGAATCGATACTGGACAATGTCAGGTGATATTTTCTTTTAGGAACCGGTCCAGCGCGCCTCGAAATGTATTCCCTTGTAAATAAAACATTAAAACACTTACTTTTTCTAATTCTAATAGGTGAAACCGTAGGACTTGTATCGCTTGCACCATCTGGAAAGAAAGAAGGTAATGTTAGTTTGAATGGTTTTCTTGGACATGTTTTATAGTGCCTCGTAGGAAAGCAGCGGGCTCAATCAGACAAAGACAAGTCAGTACAAAGAGCTGCACAAAGCGCAACGGGACCCCGCTGTGCATAGGGATGCGCTCACACGATATTAAACCGAGAATATTTTTCTTAAACACTGAGACATGACTCACTATCGAATAAATTACTCCATTACAAGATAAGTAATAAATTACTACCTATTTGCCACATAGCAATTTTCAAACAAAATTTAAAACAAAAAAAATCAGATAAAGCTCGCCGTATCATAAACGACTTCAACTTCTAACACCTCAATGAAATAATAACGTGAGACAAAAAACCTTATTCACATACGTACTCAAGATAATAATCTCGACTATGTTTGAAGATCTAATCGGAGTTTTGAATCGATATCTATCTCAAAAGCGAGGTAATGCCGTTTTAATAGCGCCATGATTCGTTTCTGATTGCCGAGACGTGCGCCGCCTTCCAGAATATTCTTTACCGATTTCAGCCTTTTGATTGATGAAGTTTATTAGTTGACTAGATTATATTTAAATGCCGGAAATAACGGAAGCTATATTTCTTAGATATTTGGCTACCGTTGTATGTACTAAATGTTGTGACAACTCTCTGATACCATAAAGTATTTACATTGTAAACTAATTTTCAATGCATTTTAACTTTTAACAGCTTTATTCTTTGTAATGAAGATTTATTGAGTATGAAATAAATCATTGTGGTGCAAATAATGTTGAACATAAATAGTTTGATTTTTTTAGAAAAAAAAATACTTCCTTAGATAAATCTGAAGGACCACACGGAGTATTTACTCAATTGTATTTAGTCAATTATTAATTTGGGTGTTACATGGTGCTGTAACATGTGCAAAGCCGTATCAATTAGACGCCACCCCCGTTCGTTTGCTCAGGCGTCAGAGACACAGATAAAAATATGTTTACATTGTACCATATCTTTACCCAAACTTTACACTTTGACGAGCTATTTAAAACTTAAAATCTCTATCACAAGAGGCATAAGGTCGATAATACAAATATTAAAATTATATAGTGAGATGTTTGCCTTGTTTGAGGGAGGCTCCGTCAACATTATAAACGTAGTCCAATCTGTTTGCTCGACAAGCCACTTAAATATGCTACCGTCTCAAGTAAAAACTTTTTAAGTTTTTAAATAGTTAAATTTAATAATCAACGCGTTGTTTTTCAGATAGTAAATATATAATAATACTCGATATCTATAAAATAGGAACATCACTATCAAAATATAAACAAACTTAATGGATTTCTCGCACAATGATGTTTATTACAATAACTTTAAAGCCTTTATGTTTCTTGTTAACGTTTTCCTTTTTTTTTAATAAAATGTAAGATGTAGAGTAAAAAAATATTTTAATTTAAATTTAACATATTTAAGCTATTGACTTTATATGAGTTACTAATGAGTTGAAAGTATGTTTGTGGACGCGACCCTTGATAGTGCTAAGCTGACTGAACTAACACAGATGTGGTCCCAGTAAACAGTAGTGGTCCATTTACAGAGGGTCCATAAAATAAAAAATGGGAGAACGAAATATGTTATGAATAAATTATTTGAATTAATCCTATTTACCATACTTTACAACTGATGCTATTATTATATTATAGCTCTTTATCAAACACTTTTGCTCTTTTGTATGTGATTTGGGTTTTTTTTAATCAAAATAGAAGTATTTTTATATAAAATTTTGTCTTATAAAGTGTTTTTACACATTGTTAGAAAATTTACATAATAATGGGTCTTAATTTATTTCACACTAGCTTAGAAAAACAGAAACAAATCTATTCCAAGGGAACTCTAGGTTTTTCGGAGATAATAAGTACCCCATGTGCTAATCCAGTCTATAATCTATCTCTGTGCCAAATTTCATTCAGATCCGTTCAGCCGTTCTGAAGTGAAAGAGTAACAAATATCCAAACATCTATCTAAACTTTCACATTTATAATATTAGTAAGATGATTTCCAAACATCGTGGTCACCCTAACATCTCTGCCAATGAACTATCCTAAATAAGTTAGTCAATGGCCAACTGTTAGTTTGACTATTAAATATTTAAAACAATCTGTTGTTAGTTTTATGGCACCATGACCACACAAGGGTAAGAGATTTATTTATGGCTTTTTTGACTTTGACTTGATAATAAACTTTAGATTAATAACACGCTTATCTTATCATTTTACCATAATTTCTAATATAATCTTATAGATTAAGAATTTCTAAATATTGTTTTAATACTAATATTAAAAGGAAAGATTTGATTTTTGGTTTATTTGTTTGTACCAAATAGGCTCCGAAACTACTGAACTGATTTAAATGAAAGGTAAGAAGATAGTTTAAAACCTTGGGAAGGATATAAGATACTTTTTATCCCGGAAATCATCCCTTAAAGCGGTGAAAATGAAAGATTGTATGGGGACGAACCCGAGCGAAGTGAGGTTGAGTCGCTAGTTAAATTATAAGTTTAGTTAGGTATTATAAGATGTAGGTCAAATAATTCATAATTTTAAAAAGTAACAATAGATACTTATATTATAAATGTGAAAGTTTAGATGGATGTTTGAATGTTTGTTACTCAATCATGCTGGAACGGCTCAACGGATCTGGATGAAATTTAGCAAAAGATAGATTATAGTCTGGAATAACACATAGGCTACTTTTTATCCCGAAAAAATGTACGATTCCCGTGGGATAGATTTGTTTTTGTTTTTCTAAAGGCGAACCCGAGCGAAGCGAGGACGAGACGCTAGTAAAACATAAATATCATATTTTTAGCCCGTCACAATGAAACGTGTTAGTTACAAATTACAAACTCGTTACATTCACACAGCCACTAACTATAGTAAGTGCAAATACCACTGTCAGTTGGAACGACAGCTTGAACGCAATTTGGTTAGCGTAGAAGTCGTTATAGCCATAAATAAATATTAAATATATTGAAATGTTTAGCCATCAACAATAATAAAATGGACAAAGTATCATTTAAACTTGTGGAATTAATATAAAAAAATGCAGTGATAGCCCAGTGGTAACGCGCTCGCTCGAGAAACCGAGAGAAGCGAATTTGAATCCCGGGTCTCGCACCTCTGATATTTTCATGTGCGAATCGTTTCCAACATGATTACTGCTTTTCTTACGGAGAACATCGTGAGGAAACCTGCATATCTGACAGAATCTAGCAAGTTTTTGAAAGACATGTGCAGTCTACCAACCCGCACTTGGTCAGCGTGGTGGACTATGGCATGGTAACCGTCGTGTTGAAGGGAGGCCCGTGCCCAACAATGGGATGTTAAAAAGGACTGAATACGAATATAAAAATAAAATAAAAAAAATTAACAACGATATTAATAAATAAATCCTATAATATTTATAATAAAAAAAAAACAAAATTACACTTAAACTGATTACGAAAATCAAATCATATTAAAACGCAATAAAAATCCACTAAAATAAAAACCTACATATTATAAAATGTCTTTTTAAGAATGGTTTTTAGTAAGCCTCGTTTTTGTTTCCTGATGACAACAAATGCGTACGCAATTACCGGTCGCACCGCAAGATGGCGCCTTTCAACCGAAATTACGCCTTTCAAAAGCTTCATTGAAACTAAAATAACGTCAATTGAATAGCCGTAAACAAGTAACAAGGGACTTCTTAAAATAACCCTGAGCGTTTTCATTTTAAAGAATTGAGTTCGCTGTCTGTATGGCAATTATGTACTTTTAATATTTTATTAGTTACCTATAATACATTCGTAAAGCTGTAATTAGTTATTTTGTCTTAAAATACAATTGACGACAAATTTGGCTCAGTTTGTAGTGACCCTACTTGCTGTGTCAGCGGTCGCGGGTTCGAGTCCCGCTGGGGGCATTCATTTGATAAGCACGAATGTTAGTACTCTAGTCATGGGTGTTTATATTTATAATATGTATGTATTTAAAGTTATATATGTGTAGTGTATCAACTATCTGGTATCCATAACACAAGCCTCGTAGCTTACCATGGAACTAGATTGTGCTGTGTGTTTGTGTTTTGTGTGTGTGTATATTCAACTTTTTTTTAATTCATAATATTTTATTCAGAATTAAATTATTAGAATTTTTTACTGAACGTCATGTGTCTACTACTAGTTCGGAAAGAAGCCTCAGACCTGAGAAGAACTGGCGAAAGAAAATCAGCGGGACTAATATTATATCATAATCTTTTTTTCTACGTTTAACCAAAACATAAAATGTAAATATACATTAAGGCAGGCATAAGCTTACTATTAAACTAAGGATTTACATTACATCCTTAAAATAATATGGCATAATTAATGATTCCCACTCATTCCCATATCTATCTCTGTATGACACATGTGGTCCCGGTGGCACCACATGACACAAAAATATATAAACCGTTTCTTGAAAGTTTGTTAGCCCGGATGTAGCCAAGTTTGTTTGGTCTTATCTAAGGTTCACAAGCATCAATGGCGCTTATCAGAGAAGCAGGTAAACTGGCACCATGCTTTATGGTGTCACGCCTCGCTACTGTTTTTAACTTTCAAATCTTGATTTATGTTACTCCATTTTATTACTCGACGTAATCTCTTACAATTAATTTGTTCATTTATCGACGCCCCACAATAAATTTCGGCCAGTTGAGAGTTTAAAAATTTTTTACACTCAATAATAGTGAAAGAAAGCGCCTGCTTGATTTGATTAAAGCAATTTACCAAACAGAGTCAACATCGATCGCCTCAGCCGGTCAATTCGTAATGCCTTAGATTTTATTTGTTAAAAATCGGTTAAGTATCCGTGTCGAACGGCTGCGGTGGGTGGCCGCCATCTTTTTATTTCGCTTTTTGTCCACGCTAGCCGCGGGGGACGCACTGTGCGATTCAGCATTTTATGAGTGACAATATATATACAGAAATATATTTTTTTAATATCATTCCTTTATTTTGTTATTCCGAGAAGAATCTCGTTTACCTGTGGTTAATTTTAGACAGCTCTTTAACTAATCAAATCGTAAATTACTCGGTCGCCGGAGACGTGAACTATAAAATGTTCACTATTTTATGGCATATTAAACTGGAACCATTTATTTATCTTTGGGGACGGAGGACATAATAAAATTGTGGGATACTTACTAATGAGTCGACCTCTGGGTCTGCTATGTAATAAGGTTTTTCTTGACGTATCTGTGAAGAGAGAAGATCATGTTATTAAAATGTATTTATTAGATTGGCTACAATAATTTAAATATTTAGTTAAAATCATCATAGCCATTAAAATTTCGTTAAATCGCTCGTGTGGATATGAAATGTAAGAAACAGCAAAGATTAATTGTCAAAGCATGGGATATAATGGTATTATAATACATGCGAATAGTAAAAAGTATACATAGATAACAGAATGGGGCCGGGTGGTAATGCGAGGCTAATAAAACCCGCGCTCGGCTGCGCGCGCGCAGTCATAGAGTAAATGAAGGCAGAAGATCTTATCGGCGTGACCAAGTGCGATGATTACATTCCACAAATCATTGCAAAAGTGGTTTCGACCATGTCATAAACGAGTTAGAACACGTTTTAACTTTAACATTTAAAATTAGTTTTTTGTTAATTAAAAATCTTGAAACGTTAGTCACGAAGTAATATATTTGTTTTAAGGATAATTTAAATATCGTAATACCAACGTAAATGTAACATAATTATTCCGTTTATGTCAGCAAAAAATAAATATAGATTAACAAGAATAAAATGAGAGATGACTAAAATAAAAAGCTTTTACTTTATAATCTTTATTGACATGAGAACCGTTTTTTAAAGTTTTACCTTGGCTTGACCGGAAATGCGATGCTATCACGCATCTATGCACCGTGCCCGGATTACAAATGGCTTTCAATTTTTATTAAAAAGCGAATTCCATGAGAAATAAACAAAAAAATAATCATAAATAAAAGATTTAGAAAGTCTTACTAGATATCATATTTTATCATTCACAATTTTATAAATGTTCAAGATGTCAGCTAAAAATTGATAAATTGCTTGACTTCACTACAGGTATTTTAACAAAATTAGACACCTAGCAGATTTGACTCATCGACATAATTTAGGAACATTGTTCAGAGAACATTACACCATAATGTGAAACACGATCTATTTGGTCTAAACAATAATTTATCCATCTCGATAGCCAATCTAAAGGCATGTGAGGTCACAGACGCCCCTCCTCCGCCGGCGGCTAGGAAGTCCCTCATTTTGGGAACCATCGACCCATAAACCCCCACTTTTCGGCAATTAAATGCTAATAAGATACATAAAATCCATTGGTACATACTTAAATAACAGATTTATATAATATATCGCGTTTTTAATGTCTTTAAACCTTTCTTATCTAAATTCTTAATTATTTTAATGTTTTTCTTTTTGCTTAATAAATGCCTAAATTTGTATGTATGTATGTGTGTGTTTGTTGCTCTTTCACATAAAAACAACAATTTTTAGTTTAGTGGTAACTTTTTGTTTTTTTATTTTCATTGTGGTTTGTTTCTTATTTGTATTTTTAATATGTGGAAACTTCATTGGTTTATGTTTTATCTATTATAATTTATTATTTATGTAATATTGTACTGTTTGTTTCCCTAAAAAAATAAAAAAATAAATAAAAAATAAGTAAATAAACACGGCTGGACATATTTAGATGAAGTTTAATACTCAGAGAGGCTATGACCTGGAGTAGATAACACATAGTCTACCTATTAGGCACAGACGGAAACATGCATGCGAAGCGAAGTCGCCACTTAAATTATAAGTTTCTTTATCATTACAATTCTTGTTTAAATGTAATATGCTTATAAACCCTTTAATACTATAAAACGCCATATTCCTGTAACGGTCGTAGGTTTTATATTATAAAAACGACTCAGTGAGCAATCGAAAGGTCAAACGTATCAGTCGATTGAATCAAGAATAATATTTTTCAACTACTATACTTACTACTTATTAACATAATGGAGTGTTTTTAGTTTTGCATATTAATATGTAATTTATGTGTATAATGCGATATAATATTTTAGCTTTAAGCTTTTAAATGGAGCTTAGGTATATTTTTTCAAAATAAAAGTCCAAAATTTCGAAAATCAACTAAATGTGAGAGTGTGTATTATTATTCTTCTTACGACGAAAAATGAGTCGAATCTGTACATTAAATGTTTTTTGGAAAATCTTATTGAAATCTTATTATTATCGATACAGAGGCGGAATCTATAGTTTTATAATTTTTGTCTGTCTGTTTGTATGTCTGTCTGGAAACGCATCACGAGAAAACCACTGAACAGATGTTGATGAAATTTGGTATGATGATAACTGGTTAATCGGGTCAATTTATAGGATACTTTTTAAAACGTAACCAGGGACTAGCCTGAGCGGAGCGAGGGTGAATTGCGAGTGACAAATAAATTTCAAGAAATAAATCCACTTCTATGTAACAAATTAGAACTTTACATTTTTTTTTTGAAGGTTTGTTTGGGTTATGAAAAACAGTATCGTTTTAGTTGAAAGGTAAATATTTAGCAACAAATAAAATCTGTAGAAGTTTAACAAGTGAAATACGATGTAAATTTTGTTTTTATATAACTTCGTTGTTTCTTTTAAAGTCACATGGAACTATTATGTCACAATTTCTATTTTACAACCAATGGTAAAAATCCCATAAAAATAAACATGGCTATTGAGAATAACTTTTGACTCGCCCTAAATATCTTTGTCCGATGACAATTGTCATTTTCTCCGTGACGTACCTGGGCTTTTATTATACCATCCTTTGTGCATTTTCAGGCGAAATATTGCATTGTTTGTCTAATTGAATAAATGCCTCATGTAAGCTCTATTGTTCGCTCCCTTCGAGCTAAGGACGCGTGAGTTTACATCTTGACGGGATCTCCATAACTAATTTTTTCTACAAGAAACTGACGATAATTCTGTCGTTCCAACAACAAGTTTGTGGACTTCGAATAGTTCAGCTACCTGACTAAATTAAAATTCGGAACCTACAATTAAATTTATAAGGCTATAATCGAATGCCAGAGTGGACATTACGCCCCCAATTGAAATTAAACTCTGCTAAACATAGATTACGGTGCATAATGAAATAGCCGTTTAACCGATACATATTATCATTCATATCGGTGGTCGCCAGCATCAAAATCGCTACCAAACGAGGTACCCTGTAATTTGTAATAAAAAATCTATTTATAAGATAAAATAAAGCATGGAAAGGCTACCTAAGATGTTCGTCGATCGATCTCGTCGGATTTTTAATAAATCAACCGTCCCGAGCCATTTTGACGCTTGTCAAAAGCTCGCATATGATTTAGATTTGTGCGTTAGTGCCGAGGTCCCTGCAGTTAATTATTCTGTAATGCGTAAAGGTTGAATTTTGTAATTTAGTTAAGTCGCCTCCTATTTAATAACTTTTTATACGATGGACGGCGTGCAGGTGATTTTTTTTTTTATTGTTGGCCTAAAAACGGTGCGCCGGTACGCGGCTACTGAAGTAGTTCATGTTCAAAATTATAGTGTTTTAACATGGTGCTTTCTGTTACTAAATTTATATTTATAGTGTGCGCGTGCGACGTCGTGGTCACGTGGTCGCGTGGTGGCGGCGGTGGCACGCCGCGGCCGGATTGTTTTGGCGACTCCGCGGTCGCATATAATCACCTCCGAGGACAACGACGTGCGAATATATTTATTTCGCCCGCTTTACTACCGCTGTAAAGGTACGTAATGAACTAACGTCTTTATGGCGCTATTGTAAACGTCAGATATCACTCATTTCTCTCCGGAGCGAACAAAAAATGTCATAAATATTTCTTAACAGAACGACTCCTACTGAATATTGTAACCATAAACGCAGCTCTATAAAATAAGGTTGGGTTGTTTAATTTTTGTTCGACTCCGAGCTGGAATTAAAAGAACTTAGACGTGGGACGAAACGGAACCTTTTGTTTGCTTAACCCTCGTGTCGCCTGCGCCATAAATATGCAAATGATAGAAAAGTATTCATAACTAACTGGAATTCATAAATATTTTACTGCTGCCAGTTTATAAAGGTATAGAAGAAATATGCAATGTCGTGGCATTCGGAATTTGTTCGCCCTACATTCGACTGCGTATGATGGCGCGCCTGATCTCTTAGAATCTTTTGCTTAGCAAACTATTTATTACAATTGACCAATTTGTATGATACCTTATTCCTGAATATTTAAAACACATGGTAAAGTGTGGGAAGGGACTAATCTAAGTCAGAAATTTCAAATGATACTTCAGCGTCTGTGAAGCGTTATCCCCATTAGTGCGAGACAGAAAATGAAGTAAGAAAGAGACGCATAAAATGAAAGGAGAGTTTTTCATGCGTTTTTTGCCCCAAAAACCGTGCGTTCGAAAATTTTATTTTTAATACAAGTAAAGTATTCAAAAGATACGAAGGCAGGTAGAAGAAGGCCTGGTCGGGGTGTTTGCTTAGTTTTTTTTTATCGTGCAAAGAATTCAAGTTGATTTATGGCCGTGGTCTGTGACGATTTGTGACCCGTAATTTCTGATGTGAGTTTTGTCACTAACGGACGGTCTCTTGATTTATTAATTTATAAAACCTGAGGAGGCGTGATTCGGTTTTGACAGTTGTCTGGAACATGTAATTTTGTGTTTATGGAACGTATTATTTCGAACGAAATGATGTGTCAAAATTAGTAATTTATATGTTTTTGCTTACAGCATCCCTTATTTCACAAAAGCTAATCATCGTATTAAATATATGACATCAAAAATTAGCTCAACGCTGTATAGATAAAATATAGTTATTTAACTGGACTCTAATTTGAGGTTATAAATAATGCGAGATCACGTATTATCTTTATATTTAAAATACTAATATTTACCTTAAATAACGACAAACACAAACACGACGCCAGTGTAACACGATTAAATTTTATGCTGTGTTTTGAAAGTATTTCTATTATTATAGTTGGTTTATGGTACAATAAACAGTGCAAATCACGCATCCTCACACGGCAATACTTTTGCTGCGTTAGTTGAGCATTTAACCTGTCCCTCGGGGGTGATTTTAGCCCAGAAGGTCAGTTTTTCGGCCATTAACGCGTTCAGAGGGTTGTGGAGGAATTAAGCAGGGTTATAAAGGTGGT